ACTTCTTTTTATTATTAGCATCCTCCCATTATCTAAAAATCCTATTTTACTATTGAACACAAAGCAATGTGTCTCAGTATTCAAACAACAGGAGAAAATTATATGTGCATTTTATTACTTGAATGAACACAAAAATATTCTGTTTCGCATGAAAATTCGCAGTCTACTTACTAATAATACATACAACTAAGTCTGAACGCACCGAAACCTTGGAAATAATTCACGTCACAACAACGAGCCAACGAATCATCCCTCTGTTCACTGGATCTATTTCAAATCGTTTCTCGAAACGTAATGTAAACGACCATTCCGAAACCATTTCCACGACATTTGTTTATCTCGAGATCCGAAATACAGCCAGTCCAATTTCTCTCTTGCGATTTCTCAGATCGACACGCAACGAAAATTCCTACGTTCTAAGTCGTTCCTCGTTTGAAACTAACAGGTCAATGAACGTACAAACGAATAAGGCAACGATTGACAAACGGTGACGGTAATTAAGAACCGGTAGAAAAATCGGTGGCTGCTTAATGAGGCAGCATGTACACTTTTCCAATAGGAACTTTGGAATACTTCCTTCTAAAAAACTCTACCTCTATTCGAGCTTATAAAATAATTCAATATAAGCTTCTCTTGTATTATGAAAATTTATACATAATAATTATTATAATTCTTTCAATAATACATTTCTTTATCAACTTCTTTTGATGATATTTTAGCATAATTACAGTCAAATTTCATAACGAGAGTAACTAATCTTATCTTTCATTCATAAACGTCTAATCTTAAGGTCCTAGAGGTCAATTAGCATCGCTGTTTTTAAAGTTACTCAGTCAGATAAAAAGTAGCATTTTATTTTCAAGATTATTTTGTAAATAATTTATTTTAATAATACCCAGGCTTGAATGTATACCTCTTTACGCGTATAGTTATATAAAATCAGGGAATGCATTATATTTAGAACACATAACTTTTTACGAAGATCGTATATCCAGAGATCTCCAAACCTCGACTATCAGAAATCAATTCTTTTCGCCGCTTTCCATCTCCATGAAGTCATTACATAAAATCTCAACAATTATTCCATTGAGTTTTCCTGATCTTCGATTAATAAAGCGACAAGTATCATCAATCGGTGAATTAGCATTGGAAATTATTGATCTCGAGCAATTACGTTACTGGAAATTTACATCTTCCTGCTTCCGTGCACCTCAAGTCGTAATCGCATAAAAATAAGCGACTAACGCGATCATATGATTCGAATTAATCACAGAGATTTATGCGGACGTGAGTGTCAATGATTCCCGATCGAATGTATCGTCGATCAGTGATTGTAACACTTTCGCGACACGTATTGAGACTGTTTTAATTCAACGCTGCTGCATTGACAACCGGTTTCAATCACCGGCAACATTTTGTTACCGGCCGTAGAACGTAACGTTGATAAAAAAAGAAGACCAGCAGTTCTCGATATGACGAATGAGGCCGCCTATTAAAAATAGACCACGAAAAATGATGCCTGAAACTCGTGTTCGACTAGCTCGAGCAAGAAATAGAAAACCACTTCACTAAAAACAATTCTTTAGACATCAAACATTGTATGAAATCCTACGATACTACAAGAATAGCAGAACAACGTAATTCATAATTTTTAAATGTATATTTAAGATCGTACGAAGTATTATGAAACTATTGAAGTTCACGTTTTTCTTTTGTGCTAATAGTCATTGAAACGATTTTTCAGCTCGGAATAACTGGTGCTCGTTCTTCAACTTGATCACAAATGTATTTAGTTAGAAGCAGTTAACACTTCCATGCAACAGAGTTGCTGTTTGCTCAGCCTCAATGATTATATCTCTGGAATCTGTGATTTAAACTCCATTAATCTGTCATTAGAATCAAGTACAAGAAATTTACGAGGCGTACAACTATTACACACAGACATTTAATTATTAAATGCCAAATACTTTCTAGCATTTTATTTAAAAATCAAGTGTCAAATGCAAGTCTTGAAATGAAAATTTTTGATTGAGTACATTAAGTAAGATGAATAATGACAAATGATTGCACGAATGTAAAGGAAAGTATGAAATACTGAAAGAGAAAATGTCAGGAGGAAAATTTTTTAAGAAAAGTCATTGGGAACTTCCAGATATAAAGATGAGTTTAAAAATTTACTGCGCGCAGGAACGACATTGGTACTGGTTCGGTGATGACATCACGTGCATATATATAAGTGTGTAAGTAAGTACGGCCGCGAGTTTATTTGTAGCGAACCGTCGTCGCGTCATTCTAAATCCTTCGTTTGCGCGCGATCGCCGCGGCTCTCGGAAGAATTTCACGCCCACGTCCTCAGATCTTTTCCTCGCTCAAGTTCAAACGAGTCGGATCCTCTTTCCCTGGGATTAACTTTCACTCAGATCCGAAATTTATTTCTTCCATGAGAAAATTCTTCTATTTTAAATATTTCCAATGATTCAATAGAGTCTGTCAAAATTAATCTTATTACAATTCCGTTTACGGTAATAAATATTTTCACGGTCTAAGGAATTAAATTTCTAATTTTCTATTCATGCTCTAATGAGAAAAATCGCAACTATTGCCGTGTTTGATGTGTAAGAACATTTTCGCACGAGCCGGTCGGAATGAACGAGATAAGACGGATTTCCGGAGCGGCCGGGGATGTTTCTAAATCTAAACGCGAGCTTGCGGACAAAATTGAGGCGAGGAGGAGAGAGTTTAACCCCTTGTGGAGTAACGGAGAACGAGGGAAAGGTAGTGTAGAAACTAGAGAGATCGGGCGGTGGGTTCGTCGACCCGGCAGTTCGGCCACAGAAAGACGAGATATGCTTCCATTTTCATCTTCGGCAGCCTGCCAAACTTTCGTCTGGACCAATCTCGTTCCCTCCGACTGCCATCCGTCACCGCCAATATTTATTCCAATTTCTTTAATCACGTTACAGTTGTTGCGACGAATAATTAAGAGAAAATTGAATTACTTTATCAATTCAAAGATTGACATTTTTTTTACTGCTTTTTTATGTACACTCCTAGACAATTTAATAATAATTAAACTATAATGTATAATTGGAAAGAACTTTTAATAAAACATTTCATAGGCCGAAGTAAAAAATTCAATAATTCGTACAAATTTTTTTAGTTTCTTAATGATTTATTCAGGTTTCCTTCAAATTCTATAAGTTCTAACACTTTTGAACGCATTGTACATATACGTAAAAGAAATAAAGTTTTAATTACAAAATCAATTATGTTTGGTTCGTTAATCGTTTCTACAAATTCATAAACTTGAAGCGTAGAATTTATATGTATATGTTGATATACATATGAATAATAATTTTCTGAGGAATCTTCTTATGTCCAACTCTGTTGCTCACTCGGACTCAGGACAGGACTGCATTAAGCAACGTATTATAATCATAATTCACTGTCGAACCGCGTTCATCTCCAGCACGATCGGATAATTAATTCAGCCGGCTAAACGGCTGTAATTACCGATTACCAGCGAACACTGACGAGAAACACATCCGCGGTAGTATCATCCATCACGGAAGAACGCCTCTACTCTCCGTGGATCTCGCGAGAGAACGAAACGCGAAACTAATTGCCCAGCTGCGAAGGATTATTCGAACTATCGTTACTGGTCAAACCGATCTTACTCCATCAACGTGATGATGTTCTCATGGTCAAAGCAATTTTTAACACGTCGATCGATATCTGGTGAACAATTTCTCATAAACCGATTTCAATTTGACTCATTGTTCGAGAGTCGAAGTTTAAGTATCATGCAAAAAAATAGACGTAAGGGCGTCTGTGCTAAATGTAATAAAAAAATCTGCGAAAAGTATATTTAAAAAACAGATTATATACGTAAGAATTGTTTTGAATAAAGTTTGTTTAAAATAAAATTTTATTTTCTAAAAAAACTTCAATTTTGATGTTTGAGTCAGACTCATTTCAAATCAGAATTCTACCAATATTTTCCTTATTGCTAACACAGCACATAGTTTATGAACCGCGACAAGAATGGCGGAAAATGCGAATTTTTTTCCATGATTGACGCGATCTCTCAAGTGAGCCGCGAGTGATTTCAACGGCGAGAATCAGCAGAGGAAGGTTCCCCACTCTGGTAGCGGACGGAACTCTTCAACGGAGCAGCGCAATTTCTCTTAAAGGCGTTGGCATGCGAGCGAATACGACGAGCCGCTCGATCGAGATACCCTCGCCGAGATACTATCACGAAACGAGTTTTAATATCGGCGCGGAAAATCGAGCGGACAAAAATTCTGCGGCCGACCCTGTCAGGAAACACTTAACGCCCTGACATCACGCGTCGTGTTCAACTCGTTGCTTATCTTTTATAGATATCGCGTTTTTAGTGTCGGTTTGATTGACAAAATGCAACACTATTAACCAACACAGTTACCGAAAGTGATACCAGAACACATGATATTTTTCAATTGAACACAATTACAGAATTAGTTTCAATTTGTTGAAGAGATCATAATTGCATTTTCCTAACTATAATAATCTTTGTTAAACTAAGGTTTTGGAAATTCTTAATGTGTGCATTCATCTGATCTCAGAATTTTAATAGAACCATCTTAA